AGTACCTTAGTCACACCAGCCACATTTCAAGTGCTCAATAGCCACATTCAACTCATCCACATACATCACCTCTTCTTGGAAGCTTTCTCAACTCCTCAAAACATATAAAATGAGGAGCCTTCTGTGCTTTTGTATTTCTAGCCTTGTCCTTGTCTCCTTGCACTGTAACTGTTTATGGGGGTACCTCCTCCATTCACCTGAACCCCTCAAGGATAGTGAGTGTCTGAATCCAAGTCACCTTTGTGTTCTGGGCTTTTAGAGTGCCCAATGTATAGTGGGCACTCGTTTATTCTTCTTTCTTTCCCTGAATAGTTATCCTCAGTAGAAGGCTAACCAGGAAGAAACTATAAAATGCTCATTTCATAATGTGATACAAAAGCACAAAGGGAAACTCAATCACATGCTCCCTCTTTTCAGGTACTGACTCAAGTGGCTCTCTGAGAATGGACCCTTTCTTCCTCTGCACACCCTCCCTTTCAAGATCACACTCAGTTCTTGTCTTTTAGAACCACAGGGAAACAGTCTGGCAAGAGCCACTGTTGTACCAGTTGATTTAAATTGAAATGTTTTCCCCAGATAAATGCGTGCTAAATAATACACCAGCTCTCCAGCCAAAGGGAAGTGACAGGCGCTCTGTAAATAAAGGCACTTAGTTGCTGGTAAAGAGCTGTAAAGTGGTTCTGAGCTGATGTTTGCTGACCAGCAAGAAGCAGCTTCACCTGCTTTATATAATTGTCACTGCAGTCTTGCCTGCTGTATATTAAAACTGCATCTCATAGACCCAAGTGTCACATTGGATATACCATCCACAATAGGGTATGCCACCTTTCTCTGTAATTGTTTTTGACAACCAGGCATCACATCTCAGATCTTTCAGAAAGTGTCTGGTCCAGAATCCCTAGGCTGGGTCAGTTCTGACACCATGTGGGCTAGAACAGTGACACCAAAGGCACTGTGAAGAGAGAAGAGGGGAAAGGGGGTTTTGTTGGTCTCAGAGACCAAGTAATGCACAGCAGCAAGTGCCTGAACACAAATTTCAACAAAGACTACCTCCCCAATGGTAAGACACAGTTTTCGTGTTACACTGTATCATGTTAGAAAAACTTTCCCTAAAAATGCATGGATATTTTGGCTCCAAAGCACACAGGTTTGTCCTGAGTCCATATTTCTGTCCTGTCAAACTCTGGAGAGATGGTAACACAGCTCTCAAGACAAAGCAAAGGATGAGGTTTCATAAAGACTACAGAATAATACACCGTGATAAAAGGTGGGCAGCAGTAGCCAGAAATCTATGTCATTATCACTCGGGGGAAGTTAGATTTGCTTCCCCAATGAAAAGAGTAGCACGAAATCCATTTTGTGCTCTGTAATTCTGATCCACCTGGAGCGTGGTCATGACAAATACACAGATGAAGGGCAGTGAGAATATCTGAAGCCAATGAGCATTCCAGCTGGTCAAAAGGGTCTCAAGGAGGGACAGTGGCAGGGAAACCTAGTTTCTCCCTCTGGTCCCATGGGCTCGGACGAACCCAGGGAGGGGGCTCCATGATGAGCCACCCAAGGTGAACACAGAGCACTAGCCTATCAGAGAGAAAGTCACTTCCTGTGCTTATGGCCACCACTTTGGAAAGTCAGAGTGTCCCCAGAGGAGAGAGTCAGAAACCAAGGACAAGAGAAGACGAGACAAAATAAGAAAACAAGGGGAAATGTGGGCTCGGTGTGCCTATGGTTCTGGCAGTCTCTCACCGAGAGCCGAAAAGACTGCTTGCTGGCTGCTGGCAGCCATGGGCTCCACTCCACCACTGACCATGAGTCTGAAAATGGCCACTGGCCAGAGGATGTATCCTCTGCCTTCTTTGGGGATGTGTATGTGTGTGTGTGTGTGTGTGTGTGTTTGGGGGGGGGTGGATGAAAGGAGTGCCCTTCTCTTTTCTTGCAAGAAAAACAAGCTCCCTTTCCTTTTTTCCTTATCTCCCACCAAAACCTACTTTCCTTGCTTATTTCTATGCAAAAAAATGTTAAAGAAGGCTTTGGAGAAATGGGTATGTGCAGAGGGGAGGGGAAGCATTTTTACCACTTTGGCCATCATATAGAATCTGAGAGGCTGGGATCTGGTCTATGAGACCTGGAAGGAACACCCGCATCACACGCATATGTAACTCAATTATGCACTGAGACACTGATCTGTGGACCTTGACAATCACAGTTACTGAATTGGGAGAAAATAGACATGTTGGGGAGAGGGAGTGTTTTCTTGCCCCTCCCGCTCAGTTCTATCTCCTTCACCCCAAGGGAGTGCTTCTCCTGCTTCCATTTCTTTCCATTCCCCTTGCTAGCTCCTGCCACGAGAAGAGGAGCGTCTAATCGGGTTGGTCAGCGTGTTCACTGGACCGGGTTTTGTTAGCGTGCAGATTATTGTGCCTTACAGCAGTGAACAATAGTCACCTGGGGATTCTGTTAGAATGCAGATTCTGATCCAGTAGGTTTGAGGTGGGCATGAGAGTCTGCATTTCTAACGAGATCCTCGGGGGGATGCCCATGCTGGGCCAGAGTCAGGAGACACACATGGGACAAGTACTGAAAGGCAGGAACCAAATGGTGGCTTGCCTCTTCTTCTTCCTAGAGGATCAGCTTACTGTCTTTTCATATCCTTTGTCACCTACACTCCTGGAACAGGCAGGGTAGGAGGTAGGCTCTGGCTCCCTAGTACAGAGCTGTGTAGATAAGACTCTCATTCAATTCCTTGACCTGTTGCTCTGGCCTGCGGCCCAGCTGAGCAAGTGGAGACCAAGATTTAGATGTAGGGGAGAGGCAGAGGATGGCAGAGTGGAGAGGTCAAACCCAGCTTCCGACTATTTCAGTCAGGGTCACATCAAGCCCATCTAACAGAACACATGAAAAAATGGTCAACATCACTCATCATCAAGGGAATACAAATCAGTACCACAATGAGATACCACCTCACACTGGTCAGAAAAGTGAAAATGAACAACTCGGGAAACAACAGATGGTGAGGATGCAGAGAAAGAGGAACCCTCTTATGCTGCTGGTGGGAATGCAAGCTGGTGCAGCCACTCTGGATAACAGTATGGAGGTTCCTCAAGAAGTTACAAATAGAGTGACTCTACTACCCAGCAATTGCACTACTAGGTATTTACCCAAAGGATACAAAAGTGCTGATTGGAAGGGGTACATGCACCCCAATGTTTATAGATGCACTAGCAACAATAGCCAAACTATGGGAACAGCCCAAATGTCCATTGACTGATGAATAGATAAAGAATATATGGTATATACCTACAATGGACTATTACTCAGCCATCAAAAAGAATGAAATCTTGCCATTTGCAACAACATGGGTTGACCTAGAGTGTATTATGCTAAGTAAAATAAGTCAGTCAGAAAAAGACAAATATATGATTTCGTTCATATGTGGAATTTAAGAAATGAAACAGATGAGCATAGAGTAAGGGAAGGAAAAATAAAGTAAGATAAAAACAGAGAGGGAAGCAAACCACAGAGACTCCATGGTTAAGAGAACAAACAGAGTTGCTGGAGGGGATGTGGGGGGGGGGATGGGGTAACTGGGGGATGGGCATTAAGGAGGGCACTTATTGGGATGAGCACTGGGTATTATATGTAAAGTGATGAATCAGTACATTCTACTCCTGAAACCAATATGTTAACTTACTTGAACTAAAAAGAAAAAAAGAAAAGAAAAGAAAAGAAAAGAAAAGAAAAGAAAAGAAAAGAAAAGACTAGAAGCCACTCTATTCTAAGTATGAAGAAAATTAGACATTGATGCAACCACTGGAAGGGCTACAAGAAAAAAATCAAAGAGGCCACCACTGGCCTGTTTCACTTGCAGCAGCAGGTGGAAATTTCCACAGGAGGTGCTGTAGATCTGAAGGCAACTTGAGGAAGTCCATACACACCCACATCAGTCCCTGGCAGCAAAGCCGGTGATGCTCAGAAAGCTCCCCTAAGAGCTGCTTTGAACCTCACATCTGCTCAGGGTCTGGCTGTCACTGCCTCCAAAGAACCAGGGCCTCTTTCCCCTTCCAGATTCCAGATCATCCCTGTGCCCCGCTCTCATTGGCAGACGCCAGCCCAGAACTGTGTGGAGAAGAGGATTCCGTGGGCCGTGCTCCCTACGCCTTTGGTCCTGGGCTGATGGGACTCAGGCCCCCATCAGGCCCCCAGTGCCACCCCTCCAGTAGAACACTTGTGGCAATGATCCTGGGATTCACAGCCAAGCCTGCACAAAGGCCTCACACCCCATCCTCCCAGGGCCCTGATTAGTGAGGCTGTTTGTTACGATGTTTTGCTGTGCTGCCTCTCTGAGACTTCTGGATGACATCTCCACTAGCAGCTCTCTGCCCAGGATCCCAGAGTAAATGACAAGGAAGATGGGGGCAGAGCGGAGAAAGCAGATGTGGATCATTTAGCTCCATCATGCCTCCTATAGAGAATGTGTGGGCTGATGAGCAACACCTCTTGCTGAATGATTTTGTGTGTCCTTGTCATCCCCACTGTCCAGGGGTCACCATCCCGTAGGTCAGCATATAACAAGGCAAAGCTTAACACCCCCATGCAGCTATAACAATGGCAAAGCTTAACATAGGTCAATGGCAAAAATATAAACTGGAGAGAAACATTAGGAATTGTTCAGCCAGCATCTCTGCAGTGCCTGACATTTAGCAGGTAACCCTGGTCATAAAGCCACTGTTTGGGAAGACGAAGGGGGTGGCAATTGAAAGACCGCTTTCCTCTCTGGGGCGGCAGCCTATTCTGAGTGTGGGTGTTCAGGTCTCAAGCCCGCTTCCCACGATGGTAAGAAGAGGCAGCAGATGCCCCTTTGAAAGCCATCCCAGCGACCGTGGGTTTCACTGCCAGGCAGGCTGATGTGAGCTTCTTTGAATTACTGAGTGAAGGATATCCCTCTTGCCAGCCCCTGTCCCCCGCAGGCACAGCAGAGAAGTATTACAGGCTGTCCTTACCTTGGGAATTAGCCTGCAAGACCCCGATGCTGTCATCAAACTGCATAGATTTGATGTTGAGTGACGCCAAGATGCATTCCTTGTCCTGCAGCGAAGTATCATCAATATTATTCTGATTGGCTGACAGGATAACGCACATGTCACAGAGGTTGATGTTGACGGCCCTTAAATCAGCCCGACTTAATGGCGTACCCTTTGGCATAGAGGAAAGAAAAAAAAAAAAAGAAGAAGAAGAAGAAAAGCAAAAGTGAGACCGAGGCACGAGAGGGAAAGAGGGAAAAAAAATAAAAACAAATTAAAGATTGAGCCGGAGCTTTGGGAAATTATTTAACAAGTATCTTTTTTATGCCTTGACATTAAGCTGGCCTAACTACGTTCTAGGGAATAGGAGCTGTGTGCTAATCTAAAGGGTAGTCGGTGCTGATGGCGGCATTTCAGGCTTGCTCTCCACACTCAATCAAGCCGTTGCTAACAAACGAGGGAGAGGAATAATGCCAGGGTTCTACATCTTTTTCCTGCCTGGAAATTGTCTTGATTTAAGAAACTGTCCTGTGGCAACCTCTGGCTTTCAGAACGTAACGAGGGGGTGGGTTTCAAATGCCTGTTTATTTAATAGCAGGTCACTTCTGTCTCGGGCAAAAACAGCAGCTCCAACTAGAATTTCCAATGCAGCCAAGGGGAAATAGCCAGTGAGCACGGTGTGATGAGATGGGGGGTGGGGGGTGGGGGGCTGATGGTGCTGCTCAACCTAGCGGATGTGGGAGGGTTGGAAGGAATGTGAATCTTGCAAAGCGAAGGGGAAAAGGAGTTCAGCTTCAAGTCATGTAATTTTATTGTATTTTTTCAGCAAGAAAAAACAAACACAAGAGGGACGCCTACGTGGCTTAGTCAGTTAAGCATCCGGCTCTTGGTTTCGGCTCAGGGCATGTTCTTGGGGTCGTGAGATTGTGTCCTGCACTTGGCTCCACACTGGGCATGGACCCTGTTTAAGATTATCTCTCTCCCTCTCCTTCCAAGTCCCCCCCCCCTTTTCTCTCCCTTTCTAAAAAACAACAAAAACAATTTTTAATGAAAAAAAAAAAACAAGAAAATCACCTAATTGACCAACACCTAGGAGTGGTTAAAAATACCACTGGACATACATTCAAGGGGAGTCTATGCAGCAGGTTGAGAGACCAAGACAGTTCTCCATGTAGGCATAGCCTTGGAAGGATCTCTAAAATAAGTGACAGGGATAAGTGACAGGAAAAAACATACACACACAAAAACAAGTTCTAGATAACTCAAAAAAGTATGATTTCATTTATGTAAAAAGAAACCCACAAAATAAAACTGTATATTCGTGAATAAACTTATAAATGCATGTACATTCAGAGAGAGATTTCAGGGAAAATATACACTAAACTGATAATAGTAATTGCCTCTAGGGAGGAGAATAAGATTGGGGGGTAAAGGAAAAAGTTTTTGAGTTTATATACCTCTATCTTGTTTGAATATTTTATAACAAGAATGTATTTGTATATTACTGGTATAATTAAAAATAAATAAGCCAGTAAACAGATTTTTTTAAAATTCCCTAACAACAAAAAGCAGTGAGGGAGGAAAAAAAAAACAGAACAAGGAGGTCATGACAGAGAGGTGAAGAATGCAAGCTCAAGTGGAATAGAGGGATTAGTATTGGAGGGGAGGGGGTGCCCTCCACATGCTCTGTGTCCCTAGGAGAGACCATAGCAGAACCCACCAGGCCATCCCATGTCAGGGCTCCCCAGGGGCCATAAGGCATCATTTTGGAGTCTACATACTTGGTTCTCCAGCCTGAACCCAGTGTCTGCTTGGCCTACATGGAGATTTGAGTTGCCTTCAACTCACCGACTGTAGAGGGAGAAAGTCGGCCAACCACATCCATCCCTGGATACCTTCCTCTCATTCTCCCTCCTGGAGAAGGAAGGGGCCTTGGGATAATGGAATTTGGCTGCACATAATGAGGCCATCAATCCCCTTTTATGACCCAATGAGAGTCATGATTCTGCTTTCAGCCCCCAAGAAGCTGCTGCAAAGTGGTATTATGGAGGAGGAGGCATTTAGTGCTATGGGGCTGGGAAGCTACTAGTTCCAGGCTCTGGAAGCAGTATCTTTTGAGAGGAGAAGAATCCCTCTTTTCCAGGGATCTCTTGGTACAAAATAAGTCAGACCAACTTCTTGAATCATTTTCCCAGTGCCTAAGCCTCAATTGCCTACATCTATATTCTTTTAATTTTCACCTTGTAAGGAATCCAGCAGTAATTGTGATGTAAGACAATCCATGCACAGTTATATACATATGATTTCAAAACTCAAGAAATACAATGACATGCCTAGAAACATCATGCTTCTTTGGGCTGGCTTCAGATGTAGGGCACTGTTTAAACAATGAAATATATGAAGACATAGATGAAGGCCCACGTTGTGCCAATATAGTGTGCTTGTGTGCACTAAATTTTGGAGGTTTATAAAGGACCTGCAAACACGAGAGCTTATTTGTATACATACCAGCTGGTGAGTGCATGTACACAAGAGCACGCAGACAGAAACACACATATATACACACAGCATGCACCCACACACCAAACATTACACACACACCCAACACTCCACACACACACACACACCACACATGCACATGTACACACACACACACAGACACACAGACTCGTGTAGCCCAGTAAAATAATAAGCTCTTTACAAAATACTTTTAGACCCCAGTCCATGTGTCCCCAGGGGACCATGTGGAAAAGCACACGTAGGAAGACAATTGTGGAAATACATAATCAAATCCATCATGACAGAAACTAGCAAGGTACATATCTGTTTATGTTCTTCTATGCATATGACTATTTTGTTTTTCTTCAGGTGACTCTTCTTAACGACATGTGCTTACTAAATAAGTGTACTGAACCTAGCATTGTTTAAAAGTTTACAAAAAGCATATTGATTAATGGTTAGGAAGTAATAAAATGACTCCTAAGCCATACATCCCACATCCTTACTCTACATTGTGGAATGTCTCAAACTGTTCTTTTTAGATTTGGGTCCTAGCATTTTTTTAACTCAAAAATAGCACATGCACATATGTGCATGCACACATGAAAACAGTGCTAGGCTTCTAAGTGAATGGGAGGCAGGGAGTGGCCAGCAGAAGGGGCTGGCCTTCTGAACAGCAAGAATGGAGAAAGAACTCTGTTAAATCCACTTAGTTAAAAACAGAAAGTGTTAGGTCCAAGATTTACAGAAGCACTAATAATGTCATAAGTACAATGATAAAAGTAGTTCCATGAGTAAATTTTGCTATAAGCATCATAATATCTCGAAGCGCTAGGTTTAGGGTAGGCAGGACAGAGTATATAGACACTGATATGGTAATGCACTTCATACCAGCCTAACTTCATGCTTGATGAGCAGCTGATCTTGGCTGCAAATTCCTTTTAATAAGGTCTCTCAGGGTTTAGATATTCCTAGACAGAGCACAGGGGAAGGGCTGAGTCCTCAGGCCCATAACCAGATGAAGAAGCAGATGCTTGATCAAAGCTACAACTATTATATCCATCTGGGATTTTCTTTTGTGAATGAAAAGAAGGAAAAAGCATCAATAACATGATCTTGGACTTACAGGCAATATGGACACTTTGGGGAAGTTGTGAAGTGTCTCCCATTCCCGCTTGAGGTACTCAATGGAGCCCACAAACACGATGTGCTTGAGCTCGTGGTAATGAAAGTTGCTGGCACGGAGCGGCATTACCAGGTTCCGGAGGCCAATCAGGGCTGAGCTGACGTCGCCAAAGATGCAGACCACCACGTGGCCGCTCAGGACGGTCATGGCGGCTTCACTTCGAGTCTGTAACAGGGAGAAGCGCACCAGCATTGAAGAAAAGACCTCAAGGTGGTGGTAAATATTTTTTAAAAATCACCTTCATAAAGATAAACATTTGTTGAGTGCTTTCTGCATGCTTTTTAAAAATTTCATCCATGTTACAGACATGTCATATATATTTATAATTTGAGTATGTGTGTATGCATCGTACTGGTATAATAAACATATGTAAACATATGTCTACACATAACGATGTCTTCTTCGACAAAGATTTAAGAAAGTTATGCCATAATATATATGAGCTGGTGGTCTTTCCTGATGATTATTAGGAGGAAAAATAAGAAGGAATAGCAATATTTATGTTGTTTAGAAAGAGAAGTCTTCGTTTCCGTGAAATTGTCAATAAGCTAAGCTGCCTCTTTTGGCTCTCTTGCTGAAATGATGATAAAATGGTAAGATCTATGCCAGTCTCAGCTTGAGAAGTTTGAGTTTTGAGTTCTGGACTCACCAATGGGGTTTCATACTACATCATTATTACATCAGTAGGCAGACCAGGACATCCTAGGCCAGGAGCTGGCAAACTATGACCCACAGGCCAAACTTGGTCTACAATCTGCTACTGTATGTCCATGGCCAGTGAGGCAAGATTGGTTTTTACATTTTAAAATGGTTGGAAAAAAAAGTTTCATAAAGATTTCATAATATGTGAAAAATATATAAAATTCAAATTCTGATGAAATTTTATTGCAACACAGTCAATCTTATTCATTTAGGTATTGCCTATGGCTGTGGTTACATTACAGCAGCAGACCTGATTAGCAGACCTGATTAGCTTGACAATGACTGTATGGCCAGCAAGATCTAACTCATTTATTATATGACCCTTTGCAGAGTCTGCTGACCCCTGTCCACTGCTGCTTTGTGGTTTCCAGGGACATGCCTGGAGTGGCCCACTGTGTATGTCATCAGAGGAAAACTCCCAGAGAATAACTAAAAGGATTGAGAGATTGGTCAGTAAGAGCAACAAGCCCATGGCTTCCCCCAACCCTAGGCTTGATTTCAAATGAGTGAATAAAGTCACTCCAGTGAGTAGAGGACCCCAGCTTCCTATGCAAGTAGGAAGTCACTGCCTTTTGCTCACTATATTAGTGAAGAGAGCAACACAGGAGGAGGCCAGTTAGTGGGTCTTTCTCTGCTCCTCCTTCTGGACGCTTCTCTAATACCTCCCCCCATTCTTGCCTTCCTTCCTCCCTATCCACCCACTGCATGCCTGGATGGCCCCATGTGACTTACAATGCTTTAGGGGGAGGCATATTAATGTCCACTGCACATATCAGACTGCTTGATTTAATCCCTAGAATTGACTGGTGTATTGATTGTTTAAATGTCAATATTACAATTCACGACAATGTCAGGGTTATTACAGTAACCCCCAAGGAGGAGAAGCAGCTAGCTTTCACACCCTGATCGTTAGAATAAAGCAGGGACTGTCACCATGATCAGTTTCCCTCTGCAATAGTACAGAACACCTAAGACAGGGGCCGTAAGAATGTCTTAGAAATGGTGATCAAGGAGGACCCACTGGGAAGTCAACATCCCACATCCCTGCTTCATGGAGAAGACCTAAAGTTAGTTAGTTGGCTGTTTGGAAGTCTGAATGCCTGGATACCACTAGTAGAGCATCAACTGGTCTACAGTATGCTGTGATGGGGTTTCTCATTACTTTTATTTTGTTTAAAGATTGTACTTATTTATTTGAGAGAGAGAAAGTACCAGAGCTAGCTGAGAGTACAAGTAGGGAGGGGGTGAGAGAGGGGCAGAGGGTGAGGGAGAAGTAAGCTCCCCGCTGAGCAGGGAGCCTGATTCAGGCTGGGATCATGACCCAAGCCCAAGGCAGACACTCAACAGACTGAGCCACCCAGGTGGCCCTCTAATTCCTTTTAATTGGCCAGGTCACCAGGGAGTCAAGCTCTCTTCATTGATCCTGAGAAATACAAACTGAGTCCAGACTAGGGGCTGGAGCGTGACACTGGGAGGTGGGAAAGGCTCCAGCTAACACAGTGGCTGACCACAGGAGCTTAGCTCTGGGGACCAATACACCAATCCTTAGACCAGCCATAGTAATGTCACCTACAGAATCCTGTCAAAATCCCAATTCCTAGAGTCTGATTCTGTCAGGCTTAGGACCCAACGGAACAACTACTCACATCACAATCCTCTGCTTCCTACACATCCTTGAAGGCCTAGCCCAAGCTGGGCCTTTGTGGCCTTAAACCCTTCAAAGCACAATCTGTGTGCATCCACTAAGACTCCCCTGGCCAGTCAGATGCATCCTAGTCCTTCTCCCCTAGATGTGAATAGCATTTTGTGCCTCATAACACGCAGCATTAAATATATTATTTCTTGGCTGCATTTTATGTCTTCTAATTAGATGACCATTTCCTCAAGATTGAGGCTACTTCATATTTTCTAGCCCCCAGGGCAGTTAGTACCCTGCACCCAGTGGATGCATGCAACCCCAAAGCATCTTCACATGGCTGGCTCTTCTGAGCATTCTCATCTCTGCTCCAGTGTGACTTTGGCGGGGGCTTCTTGGACCACACTGTCTAAATAACACCTTCTGGGTCCCTTTCTGGCCCATGGCCCTCCTTGATTGTCTTCATAGCACTGTATCAGTGTCTGAACTGTTTTCCTATATTCAGTTGTTCACCTGCATATCTTCTCTTTGCCTTTCCTAGAACATAAGCTCTATGACAGCAGTCATTGTCAGGGGCTGTACCCCTAGTGACAAGAGCAGCAGCTAGCACATAAATGGCCTATTATAAATGTTTTGTTAAACGATGTTATTTTTCAGATGACAGAAGCAGTAACTCACTTCCTTAAACTCTTTCATGCCAGAAGGGACTTTGTTTGGATGTCAATTAGCCATACACTCTTCAGGAATAGAGGTAAGCCATTAAAACTCTGGATTCCAGATTCGATACCAGCCCTTTACCGGCTCCAAATGGGTAGCGCCAGTCTGAGTTTGGATCAACAGGGCAAAAGTGCAGTGAATACATCAGGATGTAAATACACGGAGCACCTTTGTGATTAGAACCATTTGCACTCTTGGAAAATTGGACAATAGCTGTTTCTTGAGAATTCTGACTCTCCGTGCTTTTGTCTGCAACATTCACACCTCCAAGACAGCCTCTAGAACAATCCTGTATTGGCTCTTAATTGCTTGATTATCATTAAACTGAGAACACACATACATAGACACATTCAGATGAAAACACAGGGGAAAAAAAATCTAGTGGATTAGAGTATGAAGTCATTCTGAGGAACTGGGACAGCCCTTTTCTGAGAAGGGTGGCCATGACATCAGAAGTGATAGGATTTTCCTAGCTGACATAAAGAAGCAGGGCACAGCAATCTGCAATGAGAAGGCATAAAGGAAAAAGAACTCTTCCATTTGACCTTCCTGATTATTAATCCATTTTTCATGGATTAGCAGGACAATAAACTGTAGGGAAGCTGATGTGGGCATTAAAACCTAAAGCTGTTAACAGGACAAGTCCACAGAGTAGAATGGATTGTTATCTAGGCTGACATTCCTAAGAGAGACCAGAAGAAGCCTACTGCTGCTACTGAGATGACCTAACCATGAAATAGGGCTCTCAGCCCCCACTTGTCCGAGGTGGACCCATGGCTCATCGCTGTCATCAGCAAATTCATTTTGCATCATGTGCTAAGAAGGATCCCAAATATGCAAGGCTATTATCTAGAAGAAGACAAGACATTGTTATAAACAAAAAATATTATTTATTATATTGGTAGCATTCATATCTCTTCAAGGCATTTAATAATAATAAGTAACTTTATTGATTCCCCTGTGGGTTTTACTCTTCACTACAACCCTAGCAGTTAGGGTCATTCTCATCCCATCTTCTCACAGATAAGAGAACTGAAGTGTAAAGAGGTCAAGCAGAGCCACATCCATAGGAATTACATACATACCGCCTCCCATCGTGCCTTCTACACAGCACATGACCACCCCATATTGTAACGAGCCAATAAATATTCAGAGATTAAAAATAACATCCTTGGCTCATATTCTGATAGGAGTTCCAGTTGCTTCAGTCTGTGTCCCAAATTTTTGTTATCAAAAATAATTAGGCCCAGGGACCCTATCTTCCCACCAGCCAGTTAGAGAAACCTCATTCCTGGCCATGGTAGTTTGGGACAGAAGTGGATAGCATGGATTCTGTGGCCCGCCACTCACCAGAATGACTTTCTCTATCTCCTTGGGTGCGCACCAGTGAAACATGCCAGTAGAATCGTACTTCTTCACGTTGGAGTCCATGTTGTCAATCTGATCATTGCCAGGAATTAACAAGGGGTCATGCCTGGGGAGAAAACGACAAGAAAACCTAAGTGGAAAATGTAATGAATTATAAATGGAAAGTGCCCCCTGTGTAATATCTCAGAGGAGTTGAAAGACACATGGTAAGTGGCCACCACTGAAGGCCATTCTTTGGTTTGCAGAACCCCTTCTTTAAAGGACAACTGCCCCAACCATCATAATCACCTGGAAATGCATGCTACCTTTATCACCTAGTAATTCCCTAAAATGATCTTCATGTCATTTTGTGGACTTAGCCTCCTTTCATGGATACCTCTCCCTCCAATTCTCATTTTACCAACCATCCAGTCTCCCCAGTGTGTGCATGTGTGTGCGCGCATGCACACACACGTGCGTGGGCATGTGCACACGCGTGCGCGTGCGCACACACACACACACACACACACACTCATACCAAAGGGTTGTTATTAGCATTGGCAATGAAGAGGAAGGAATAGGAATAGAGCCTCATGCTGACTGACTGGCATGAGGATGGAAAGCCAATTACTTGCTCTTTCTGACTACAACTTCTGACGTGATGCTCTTCGCAGTAAAAGCTTTAACAGGCTGCACTTTAAATATTTTAGCAATTTGCCCAATCAGATTTTGCTCTCCCCGGCTGAAGCCCTTTAAAGATTCAGCAGCATGTCACTTCAGAGCAGATTGACTACCAAATGCCCACATCTGGAATACATGATTTCAATACTAAACAACACCCTCTCTCCTTGCCTTGACAACTGTATTTGCACTCACCATCCAATGACGGTCTCCCCCCACCCCCACTGCACCTCCCAACTGCAGCCTTCCTTGGATGAGAGCTCAAGCTCAGATGCATCTTAATAAACTTGTCTTGAATTCATCCTCTTGCCTTGTTTACTGGTAGAGAGGAACGATGCTGCTGCAGAGGCCTCCCCTCCAGTGGGCTGGCAAAGCCTTACCAACAACCTTAGGAATTACAATAAAATCAGGCAGGTCTAACAGGTTCACAGCATAAGAAACATACTCCTACATCTTGGGTCATATTCATTGTCCGATTCCATCTCTGATAGCGATTCCATATCTCAATTGGGGGGAGGTCTTTTAGGTTTCTACAACATTGACCACATATAATTAGGACACTGTCACGGGCATATCTACCTGTCCTTGCAGGGGAGTTATCTTTCCTAAATAATATCACCAATTCAAGATAGAAAATATAAAAAGGTTCTAATTCCAAAAACTTATTATAAAGTGATTTTACCTTTATATGATCTATTTTAAGCATCAGTGGGTGACTACTTAGTTTTTAGTATTTTTCCCTCTGAAATTTCTCTGACACTTCTCATTTACATGTCCACTACATAGAAAGTGGGACAGAAATCTCTCCTACATGATCCACAGCCCTAGAACTAAGCTTTTGGGATATTAGGATACCTAGTATGAACTGTTCCCCCACCCCCGGTATTCACTCCATCCCGACTTAAGATGGGAAAATTCTCACTGCATTTATTTATTCCTGAGAATTTGCTTTTAGGCTATACCAAATGATAAATACCATGTGAGCAATTCTGCAAAGTTATCTTCAACAAACATGCTAGATTACTATAGGAACTGTCATATCTAATCTTCAGAAGAGAAAAACAATCCACCTTGGAATAGCATCTCAGTAGCTGAGCTGTTGGGAGATCTTTAGGTGTTGTAAACCACCAGGCCACCTTTCAAATACTGAACTCAGTCAAAAATGCTGAAATAAAAAAGGCAGTTGCTCCTAAGAACTGGTCACAGATCAGAGCAAGAGCAACTTTTGATTTTTTTTTTTTTGTCCTTGAAGAATCTTTAATAGTTTTCATAGATATCCATCTGTGATAGGATATCTAACCATCTGTGATAGGTAGGTGGTTAGAAACCACCAAAGAGATTTCAGAAAATACCAGAATGAAGTCTTCCCAGCCCTAGAAGAACATATTTTAGTTGCAATAGGATCTTAATAAATTTTCTCTAAAGAAATAGACCCAGCTTCAAATTCTCTTGCCCAGTTTATTGGTTAGAGAGGGAGTATTATCTCAAAGGGGCTTGAAACTTGCCTATAATACCTCCGACCCTCATCTTAGAAAAGTAAATAAACAAGCCTGATGATCAGTCATCCCTCAATGAGAAGAGAAAAGACAGTTGTTTAATGTCAAGCCTCATTAACTGGGGTGAGGGTCTGGGGAAAGCAGGTATAATTTCTTCTTTAAAAAATCTTATTTATTCTTGAAGTGTAGTTGACATACAACGTTATAGTCGTTTCAGGTGTAATTTGACACTAGGGTTGCAAGCCATGATTGGCACTGTAATATCCAAAAGCACCTGAGAAGTCTCAGTGGTATGTCATGCTGCACTCTGTACTCCCCACACACCTCTCACCCTGGCCTGGATAATTTAAATGTATTACCCAGGATTTTCCTCAAAGGGTCTGATCTTAGGACCATTAAAAAGTCTCCCCAAACAAAAATAGTTCCCTTTCTGACCAGTCATTGATACCTGGACTTTGAACTTTGATTTCTTGAAACATCAAAGCAGTCAATAAACATGAATTTTCTATTTTGATCCAGGAATGGCGACTACCCTGATGATTAGGATGCAGTCCCTAGTCAAAGAGAGGGTCATAATATAGCAAGAGAGAGAAAACGTCAATCAAGAGTTGTGATACACTGTGATGAGTGTTATAGCACACAAGGTGGCATGAGAATACCAACAAAGAAGCTGTTAATTGCCTGGCATTTGAGTAACATTAAGGAAGGCTGCCCAGAGAAGGTAGCATTTTATCTGATCCCTGAAAAAATGAGGAGGAATCTCAGCTTATTTTAGTGTTGATCCACTAGCAGCCATTAGGATCCCCTGCAGGCCTATATGAGCCCAAGGATGGCACCCCAAACCATAGCAGATGATGTTGGCTGCAGTGTTGTCCAATATGAGGTATAGAACACTCAGGCCAGTCACAGTAGCCAGTCCTCTGATGTGCCATTGTGGTCCTCAAATGGAAGATGGAATCCACTGATTGCATATGACTGATTGGGAGCAGGTTAAGAACCATGTGTGGAATTTAGATAGAACAAAAATCAAGTTTCCAAACATGAAGAATGTTATAAAAATGGAAGGGGTTTTAAAAAAATGACATGAGTTGTTTCCCAAGAGAGTGGATTTCTCATCATTTGAGACATTCCAGAAAAGCTGGGATACAGAGATTTCATTGTAAATGTTAGGTGAACCTAGAAGACCTTCAAGCCTTGAGGTACTGTTCTCTCTCTGAGAAAGAGGTGGGTAGAAGGATTCTGGAAATCCTTCTGGGCCACTTCTGGGAATCAAAAGGCCAGAGGTCATTAAGTAACTCTAGAAATGTTGTCAGAGCAATGATGGAGATCAGAAAAGATAAAGACTGATGACTTTAGAGTTCCATGAAGGACCATGAGTGTTCCTCATTCACTGGGTTCTACCATCTGGAAGAAAGCTTGGGACATGGTTTATTCCAGTAACTACTTTGAACTGGACAGGATGAATTTCTTCATGATATCTATTGCTGTAGTGATTTCGGGTGGCTTAGGTTGGCTTAAACTGCAGAGGTCTCTGACATAGGTGAATAGTGAAGAGCCAGTTGGCCATAGGAACTTGCACTTCTAAATTGAGGTTGATGGAGTTTACATCAATAAAAGAAAGTTGGAGCATTTGCCACTGAGCACAACAACTAACATTGTTATGGTCAGGGGAGGCCCAGGAGAAGAACCAGACAGTCTGCTGTAACTAGAAAGGAAGTCCACCAGAAACATCCCAGAACAAATCATCCCAGCATCATTTGTTCATAAAATGATTAAAAGAACCACATTCAAACGTTCTGAGACAATTACTCAAAAGCCCCTTAGTTAGAATTAAGGAGAAATACTAGATATTGTCTTTCCTATCTTACTTATTTTATACATTTCCCTAACTCATGAAGTAATCTGAACTCCCCTAAAATACACCATAATTGATTCAAGGCTCACTTGTCATTTACCACTGAGCCGATGTACATGCATTATTTTAAAGTAACAGAATCTCTCTGAGGTGAGGTCTATCTGCTGCACAGCTGTTAAGTGAGCATCATTCTGTCCCCCACCAAGTCTGTACATCAAAGTCCGAACTCTCAGTACCTCAGGATGAGACTGTATGATAGAGTCTTTAAAGAGGAAATTAAATTAAAAAGAGGTAATTAGGATGGGCCCGAATTCAATATAGCTGCTGCACTTATAAGAAGAGGAAATGTAGACACAGACATGTACGGACATGTGAAGACACAGAGATAAGACAGCCATCTAGAAACTCAGGAGAGAGACCTGGAACAGAGCTTTTCCTTCACCGCCTCAGAAGAAATCAACCCTGCTGGCAGCTTGATCTTGGACTTCTAACATCCCCAACTGTGAGAAAATCAATTTCTATTGATGAAGACACCCAGTGTGTCCACCTGGTTATGGCAGCCCCAGGAAACCCATACAACAGCCCACCTTGAAAAGTGGGCACAGTGTATCAGCTGTCGATCTCTAGAAGGGACCCTAGCTGCCCTTCTTGCCCTCGAGTCTCACCTGTTCATTTCAGGAAGAAATGCGTCCTGCCACCTGTTTAGGAATCTACAAAATGATACCAGAAATACACAATATCTTATTCAAAGAGTTCAGGCCAAAGTACCTCCCTCCCTCAGCACCACCCCACCCCACCTCAACCTACATTTCTGCTCTGCCCGAGAGGGCACTTCTCTTGAGCATTTAACTCGCAACCACACTTTTGGGTTGATACCTATGACAACCAGTTCAAAGGAAAGAGGAAGCCTGGACACCTGCCACTTAATTGATTCATTTGACCCAAGAGTCTGTCTCCAAAAGGGATGTTTTTGGGGTAGAAATCACTGAGGGGAGGAAACCACCGATTTCCTAAGTGATAATATAGCATAGTGGCTCCGCAACCAAAATATCTGTCTGCAAGTTTTGGCTTACCTCCTACTTGCTACATTGCACC